ACTCTGAAATATTTCTGCCCAAAATAACATGAGAAAGTTAACAATTTTTAATGTTTTACCGTTTTGGGCCTTTGCCTCTTGAACCCACAGTGGAGATGGGGAGAGGGTCGTTCTTCCTCTCCATGTCCACCAGGTTGTAAACTGTCTTCTGGCAGGTCAGGACATCCTCTTCAGTGAGAGTTTCCTTCACTATCAGGTTGGCAAGAGGAACCACCTGAGAACAAAACAATTAGTAAAAACATAACTGGATCAACATGGAATTATTACAAGAAATATTTTATAGGGGGAAAGTCTTAATGCTGCGTACTGCCTGCATGTTAAATATGGTGGTTTGTGAGATGATCATTGGCCAGTATCGTGTGTACCGCTCCAGCTGCGACTTGGCCCTCTCAAATGGCAGCTTTCCAGAAGGATTGTGGGAATTCTCTGAAACTGGAGTTAGCCTGTTCTCCCTCATGAATTCACCAAAGTCCTGAGACAAAAAAGATCCAAAACAGTTTGTCTCCGAAAAATAATCTGGCGTCTATTTTTAGTACGCATGAGATAAAATGAGCTGAACTCACTGTGATCCTGTAGTCTGTGACCCGGCCCCCGCAGCCCTCGCTGATGGAGGGCGGGTCCTCCAGCGTGGAGCGGTTGCTGTTGAGAACATGGAGGAAGATCTCGCCCCCGTGGCTGCTGAGCATGTGACTGATCACCTTTGAACCTGACTTCTTGGGCAGCTCCAACAGCACAGAGCGACCTGAGGTTGGTAAGTAAGGACAAATGGTCCAACACACATGTATATCATATATGTGTATATGTATGTGCGTATATTTATATATATATGAATTATATATATGTGTATATGTATGTGCGTATATTTATATATATATGAATTACATATATTTACACACATATTTACATATTGTGTATATATACGTGTATATGTATATACGTGTATGTGTATGTATATATGTTTGTATATATGTATACATATATACGTATATATATTTATATATTGCACTATAAAATGTAATATATACCTTAAAATAAACAGCTTACCATTAAGAAGAAAATTTGTCAAACAAGACGATGGCCGACTGTTTACGTCTGTGGGAGAGATACGATAGGCTCCCGTGCAGTAATGCAGTTCTGAGGAAGGCAATGTTAATAGAATATGTCAAATACTCGTCTTCTGAAGAAAATACTGTCTCTGTACTCTGGTCATTACTGATAGACGAGAACCTTCTGATCCTACCTATGACGTTGGTTCTTGGAGTGCACCATTTTAATGTTACCGTCTCTTTCAGTCCATTTTCTCGTGTGCTGGTTCCTGCCATATGCAAGTCTCCTGCACAACAAACGGAAAAACGTGCAATTTTAATGTTGACAAAATTCCTATGAGCATCACATATGGCAGAAGATTTTATTTAAAAACTGTGCACGGCTTTGAGAACTGAACACCCACCACTTTTGAAAAACTCCAGGTGAGCGTCTCTGTGATGCAGGAGCTCGACGTCATAATTGGCTGACGTGTTGGCGTGCTGCTCCTCCTGTCCATCAGTGGGGAAACGACAAACAAAGGTGAGCATGACGGCACAAACACACAAACACACACATCAATAAACATAGGTACGGGGACACAGAACACACACAGAGACAAAAACACACACTGCTGATTTCATGTTTCAAAGGGCAAAATGATAAAGGACAAAAGGGAAAAAGCATGTAGAAGGCAGCAAGTTTAACGCTGAATGCTTGGCTGTTCTTCTTGATTGCAATGCTAAAGTTTTGCCACTTGGAATTTTGGTACTATATTTGGGGGTTGTGTAGCTAATATTGATACAACTGGCACATTTGAATACTAGGAAGAACATGATGGGTAACAAAAAGACATTAAAAAGAGAGTGACTGGCGTCTGATGAGGACAACACAGACCTGGGGACAGTTTGGAACAACTTTTGAGGGTGAACACACCAGACAGACACTAACAAAACTCAGTAAATATGAAGAGGCAATGCTGGCCAACACAGGGCTTAACTTTTAGACTCTTTTTTTTAATCTTTTCTTTTACAAAATGAACATCTTGATGCAGCAAAAATGTTTGAAAATATCTGGAATTTTCTAGAGTTAACAAAGCTGTTAATGGTCACGATGAGACCAGCATGGCCTCTGTCTTTTACTGAAATCTCAGCACAACTGTCAAATGATTAAAAACAAGCCTGCACGAATACTGCAACACTACATGGTGTGAACTCTGCCTTCTCCTCACTTGCGTGTGTGTGTTGTAGGAGTACTAACCTGTTCGCAAACATTTAATGTGGGCTAGCAAAACAGAAAATACAGCATGAAACCAGCAGCAGGTCCACAGTTATATAAACATGCAGATGAGTTAAACTCAAAGCTAAAGACGGCAAAAAAAAGGATTTTATCATTAGAAGTGAGGTGGGCTAACGCATGAAGATTAAGCAAGCACAAAAGGAGGAAAAGAAAAAGATGAGATTATAAAATAACAAAACTAGTTAATGGTTAAGATTGTTTTTAAATATGGACATATGATTTTTAATTGTGACAGAAAGCATAGCAACGCAACAGTGGAAGGAGCACCGACCTTCATGGGGATGTTGGTTATGGTGGTCGAGGCCAAGTCAAAGTGCTGCTGGACCAGAATGTTGAGCTTGGTGGCGAGGTGCCTCCCAGCACGAACACTGTGAACCTCACTGGTGAGTAGAGGAGAGATCTGAAACGGCAAGAGGAATAAAAACACCCACATGGTTCTATCACGTTATAGTTCACTTGTGTATGGTGATATTTTTCACTTTCCTGACTGTTGTGTGGCACTCACCTCTTTCTTGGGTCGGTCAGAAACAAGTGTGTCTTCACCCTGGGGGTATATGTGAACTAAAACCAGCTCACACTGCTGAATGGCCATCAGTCTGAAACACACCACAATGAGGTAAACTGAAGAAATGTAAATAACACCCATCCAGCCACATTCTTTTTTTTATCCAACAAACCACATTTTCTTTTTTTGTACCATTGGTTGTCCACATACAGTACTTTTGCAGCCTTTGTTTATATTTTTTCTAATATTTAAAATGCAATTTTTTTTGTTTAATAGTAAAAAAGATAATGCATTATCAGACACTGACCTGTCAGACCCAGCTGCCAGTTTGTTTTGTTCTAAAATTGTTTCCTGGATGCAGTCTTCCAACATGCGCACGTGTGTATCACTGTGATAAAAAAAGAAAAGAAAAAGGTGTGAGACTATTACTAACATGATACATATCTAGTTAGAAAATGTATACATTTGCACGTTGTGTAATTTAAATATTATCCAGTTGCTAAAATTAAAAAAAAGCTCGTAGATGGATGTTTTACCTTTTAGCATTGGTCAGGCAGATAATACGCCCCCTGTTGGCAACTCTCTCCGCTGTGTCCATTAAAGCCGTCCGCTTCTCGTGTTGTAACTCTGTGATCTTGCACAACGCCTCCACCGCAGACACCAGCCCGTGCAGGATGCTGCAACATTCCGGGTCCTCCCGTGGGTTAGGTGGCCCAACAGCTGCCAGAGCTGCCATGAGCTGTCAGTGCAAGAGAGTACACAAACATCAAACCACAATGGGTTTATTATGAAAAAGAAAACCGCCATGTTATTAAGCTTTAAAGGGATCATTGTGTTTTAGTGGACAGTGTTACCTCCTGAATACTCTGATCCTCCTGCCTCCAGCTATTCAGTATGTGAAACTCTGAATCACTCACAATGTAATTGATCTGCAAAACAAAGAGGTGTAAAAAGCATTTATAAAACAACTTTGTATGCCAATAAAAAAAAAGAGCTTAACTCAAATGACCTCACCAGTTTGTCCTTTGGATAAACGTCATAGAGAATGCGACAGTATTCCATCGAGCATTCCACAGCGCAGGTCCAGAGAGACTTGGACACAGGAGCAAGAGGTATAACCCCCTGAGCTCGACTCTTTGTCAACACATCACACTCCACCTGCTGACGACTGGACTCAGCCATATAGGGACAGTGATCCACCACAAAGACCGTCTTGTGTGACACCGAGAACATCTTCATTTTCCCAAAAGACATTTTGTTCTGCGCTGTATGGAACAAAGAAATATACAATGTAATAAATCTTGTATTCAATTACAACACTCCCCTATGTATGTATTTCCCCTTTTCCCATTTTTGTAAGTAGTTACAGTAATTTTAGATTCAAATATTAATTGTTAAAATATACCTCCTAGTCAGTGATGTAACTTAGCCAATGCTAGCTGGCATCCAAATATATATTATCACACAAAACTCATGGCTCTCTGTATTCCGTGAACGTTACATGCATGTATAGCACCCTCTGCTCCCCCTGGTGACACATTTAATCAGTCGAATTTAATGTTGCACAGCATTTTCCACACGGTGCTCGTTTAGAAGACTTATACTTCCAAGCTCTATTTTACACTTTCAGTGGCTAATAACACACAAAAAAATAATTATGTAAGATTTTAATGCAGTAAACACCCTCTAGCTTTAAACCATGTGAGGTTTAGTAAATGTTAACTCACCAGGTGGGGACCTTGAACGTCTCTGGATATTATTCACAGATAATAATAATGTATCGGTGTTACGATTAAGTTTTGATAAATTGTTTCGATCTGTGTCAGGCTACTAAAATGTTAACCATTAGCCTCTAACTGCTACATTAGTCCGTCGGTCCAGTGTTAGCCGGTAAGCAAACACTAAGCCGGATCATTTGTTCGCTGAGTCACGTTCATTGCCGAAGACATGGACGTATATCCATAATGAAATGTGTGTAGCAAAGCCGCAATTATGCCGTTTACATTAACTTTCAAAATCAAAATCGCCTAGCAGTGGGTGTTTGTATTATACCAGATAAGTAAACAATACACTTAAGAGTTTGTATCGGATTTGTTGTTAGCGGAAGTGTCGCGTGGAGTTCCGTCATCGTATTCCTTCCCCCGTGCAAATGGCGGAACGGTTCGTCATTCAGAAGCACGCCCTTTCATAAAAGATTTTCTCTAGAGTAACAAATGGTCAATTACAATAAATTGTAAGCAAAACAGAAAATAAGACAAAAGGATAGAAAACCGACATTAAAAAACAATAGCACCTTAAATGTAGTTACAAATTATCTAAAAAGTAGCAGAACATTCTAAAAAAAAGAGGATGCATAAAGCCATTAATACACCATAACCTGGTATTTTGCTAAAATGTTCACGGCTCTACAAACGATTGAGGCATCATCCAAATAACATGTTTAACCCAAATAACTGTCAGTTTCGTAGTCCAGAGTTTTCAGTGGTAAAATGTCCTATCACAAATTGGTAGACAGAGGGCAATGTTGCTGCAGGTGAAAATACTTCACCACACATCTGGTGATTACAAAGGGGATTATTAAACATTATTTTGCATTATTTTGAAAATGTTTCGCATACTCCAGTTATACATTTAAATGTAACATTATCCCTAACGTCCATTAACTGCCGTAGTTTTGTTTTCAGTGTTTTAGCATTTCTTAAAAAAAAGTTTTTCTTGATTTCTCCGCCTCCAGCCCCACCCATGACTGTGTCACATACTGCTGCCGCTCTCAAGTCACAACCTGAAGTAAACTTCATGAGAAGACGTTGAGATATAAAAAACTATGTGTGGAGGAAGAAAAGGACGAACGAGAATAACAATAGATTTCTGCGGGTTCAGAAACAAGTGATCAGTGTTGTTCACGCAGTGGATTTGTTAATTCAATGAAGAGAATGAGTGAGGACGACATTCTGGAGATGGACTCGGTTTCAGAGACCGATGAGGGGGCGGAGGCTGAGGTGGACATGATAGACGAGGAGATCGGTGAGATAAATTTCTCTGTCGCAACACATGGGTCGTGTACGTTCGTGTGGCTGTCAACGTGTGTTGTGTTGTATTCCCATTGCAGCCTTCTTCTACCCAGTCTTCCACCGTCACCACACTATTCACAGTTATGTATTTCACCCACGGTTGTACAGTTAAAGTCGTTAAACACCATGAGTGCAAACATATGCCGTTAAACTCGAGAAAACTCCCGCAACAACACTTAATTATGTTCATTTTTTGTTGGTTTGGACCTTCAACCATTACGCGAGTGTTTAATAACAATGCAGTGAAATTATTAAGTTTAGTCAAACGGACCCAGATTCCGTGATGTCAAAGTAACCCAGTGTTTTCCAGTGTGTACTCACTAAAAGCTTTGGTGCATTTTAAAAATTTCACAACGTTATATTTAGCACCGTAGAAGTAGATGAATATAGCTGACTTTATTTTTTGGGGAAAAAAAGTGATAGGAAAACATTTGCTTTCAGTCTTAAATAAATTAAAAATTCCAGCTAATGACCTGTTTAAAAAGTCTCCTTATTTTAGGCTCGTTTCTGCCAAAAGAATGGGAATTAAAATTATATAACTAATAATAATTACACGAAATATTACTGTCATTTTATTGTAATTTATTCACTCATTCGTTTGATGTAAGTGTTCTTAGCTAATTAATTTGCTAAAAGCTAGGCCACAACACATATCTTTAACATGGCACTAGCTGAATTTAAGTAACTATAACTTAAATTCATCCAGAATGGCAACTAAATGACGAATAAATAAAATAAAAATCTAGACAATCTAAGGTGATAACTAGCTAATTATATATTGTAATTGTTATGCTGATAATACATTATGTATTACACATTATATTGAAGTATAATATGAACTAAGTAAGTATGTAAATAGCAGTCATTATTAGAAATTTAGATACTACGTATTTTATATTGCTCTATTGAACATATATTTAAATATTTGTTCTATGTTTTTAGTGTTCTAATTCAGGTAACTTTAAATGTTACAGTTAAACGCTACATACTACAGTTGTATCTTATTCTTGTTATGTTCCAAATTTATTCTATTTTTATTTTTAGTCTAATTCATTACTAATGTACATGTATGGCTACAGGTGACAAAGGCCTTGAAGTCTTAATTAATATCTAGAGTATCAGTATAATATAATACATATAATACATCACATCATCACATACATCATCAAGTCAAACACATAAATCTGCCTCTCGTGAAACTATTTACTGGGAAACAACCGTTGTTGTAGTTTGCTGTTTGTGTTGTGGTGAAAAGACATCTGGTGGTGGTCCCTGGAGTCTGTTCAGTATTTTCTGCATGCTTCCTGTATGTCTAACACAGCAGTTGTGATTCTCATTCACAGAGTCATAGCTCACACGTGTGCAAACACTTGAGTGCTCGAACCGACTTTATTCATGGCTATTACTGTATCACAAATACAACACAGTTGACATTCTTGTTGATGTCATCGTAGAAAAAAAAAATTTCAACAGCCACAAGTGTTTTTCATGCCTCCATCGTCTTCTTTTGTTTACGGCGTGACTCACATTCCTTCCTTACATTCTGAAACCATAAATTTAGAGCCGCTTCCTCTGAGGTGACTAAAAGAGGCAGTGTTGGAGGTCTGCACACGCAAAGTATGTCACATACAGTATTGTACAGACACAGTATGTTGCTGTGTCTCCACAGCTGCCAGCGTAAGCTTTAGTTTTTCTTGTTTACTTAGTTTGTTCCTTTGTGTTCGTCTTGTTGACTGTCAGAATTAGACCCACAGTTCAGTTTAATAAAAAAACATTCCTTTGGTATAAAGTTGGCAACTGTACAGTATAGTACGAAGGTTAATCTTTCACCCTAAGGGTTGGGGTTTTAATTGTCTCTTGCTGCTGATGTGCCCTTGGGCCTTAGGAAATAG